ATTAGTTTTCTTAATACCTTTAAGTATAAGTTAGTTCTAAAGTTACTTAGGCTAATTATAGTCTTTAGCTATATAGCTAAGCTTCTTATAGTTATAATATTTAAAGTCTTTTAGATTTTAGTAGTTCTAGTAAGGCTTTTTAGTTATAGTATTAATATTTATAGGTCTATTATACTACTTATAAGAGGTACTTAGCTTACTATGTTATTAGTTGTTTTATTAATATAAGTTAAGTTATAAGTTTTTAGGTTCTTATAGTATATACTTTTTACTAGTATTTAGCTAAAAGTAGTATATTTTTCTTTTCTTTTTTTGTTATTTATATAGCCTAGTATTAATTCTAACTATAATTTCTATATATTATAAGAAATTATTAGGTTAATCAAGCTTAAATAGCTTATTTTTTATGTTTTTTTTAGTCCTTAGTAAAACATAAATATCTTAGTATTATTAGTATAGTTAAGTTATATATAGATTCTTTAGAACTTTATAGCGTAATTAGTAGTTAACTTAGTTTATTTAAAGTTTATTAAATCTTATTTAGCTTATTACTTTTTATTTAGATCTTAGAATAAGGATTTTAAGGTATACTTAAATCTTATAAAGCTTTTAAAGATTTATTAAGTTTTTAGGTTATAGTATTTTAGCGTTTTGTTATTTAGGTAGTTTTCTAAGTAAGGCTTAAACTAAGAAAGTATTTACCTTTTAAAAAAAATATCTATATAAATAATCTTTTTTATTTTTATATAAAAGTTATTTATATAAAATATTTAATAAGTTCTAATTTAAATTAGGAATTCTTTTAATGTTTTAGAGGACTTATTATAAGTAGTAAAAGAATTAAATTTAAGTTTCTTTTATTTTTTTAATAAAGTTAAGATAATATTAATAGCTTTTTATAAAGTTTTAATTTTTATAATAAGTGTATTAGCTTTAATGGTTTTAGCTTTTAGTTTAGTTATAGCTTTATTAAATATGCTTTATATTTAAGTGATATTAGTATTATTCTTTTAAATATTTAATTATAAATTAGTATAAACCTTTTTAGTAAAGCCTAATTTATTATTAAAGTTCTTAATATTCTTTATTTTATTATCTAGGTTTTTTAGTGTAATAAGAGTTTTTTTCTTTAAACTTAAGTTAAATAACGTAAAAGTAGTTTTAGATAATGTAATTATTATTTTAGCAAGTATTAAGGTTAATTTACTAAATAAAAGTAATTAAAGTATTATAATTAGATATTTAATAATAGTATTTTTTGTTAATAAGTAGCTAAAGTTAATACTTAGTAATAGTAAATTAAGTCTTATTAGTAATCTTATTAGTTTATTAGTGTTAAGTAATTAGTTAAGTATATCTAGGTATAAATAGTTTATAGCTTTATAATGAAGGGATAATTTAAGAGTTATTTATAAGAAAATAAATTATAAAGTTAATTACTAAATAGCTATAAAAGTTTATCTTAGAGCCTATTTAAGCTATTCTATATATAAGTCTTAATTTTATTATTTATATCTCATTAGTATAGCTTTTATATCTTTTATAGATAAAGCCTATATACTAAGTATATAGCTCTTGTATTTTTAGCGTATAGATCTAATCTTATCTTATTATCACGTGACTTATCTATAGTTTTTCTGATCTGTAGGGAGTACCCCTTTACTGATATACAAAGGCTGTGCTGCCTGCGCTTCCAGGGTCTGGTGGGGCTAGCGCCTGCCCGTATCTTGTCGGGTCGTAACAACGCGCTTTTCTATAGTAGTCTAAAAAGGCCCTTTTACTAGCGACGCTTGAATTGCTACATGGATCTAGATGCCCTAGATATTTCCTATAGGTAGACTTTAAAGGTCTAAAGACTAACTGGTCTAGAGGCTGGAGGACGTGTGATGTGTGCGGCGGTAAAAACAGGAGGTGTATATCGTTCTGGAAACATTGCTATAGAAAGTCTGTTGTTGTATGGCTGTGATGGGCGTCTAGAACCAGCAGTCTGGCCTTGCTAGGCTGGCTGGGGGCAGTCTGAGGGATAAAGACCTTATTCAGCCACTCAAGGGCAGTCTGATCAGTCGTCCAGCCATTATCTGTAGCTGTAAACTGCCATCCAGCATAGGGCTAGAGATTCAGAGGGAACCACTGCTGCTGGACTGACTTGCCCTTGTAGATAACAAGGGGATGCAACGAGCTGCCAGCAGTCAAGACGTATTCGATTAGCAATACCTATACCCGTGATCTAGGCTGTTTTTTCTGGATATATCTGGCCTCTACAGAGCCTAGCACTAGCCCGTTTCTCCCTTTGCCCTCTAGGATACCAGTCTCATCCATGTTCCATCTATTAGCTGGCTTAATGGCCTTGACTGCTGGTAGCTCTAGGCGATGGAACCAATCCTGGATAATGTCAGCAGATGCCCCGTTTATACGCCTTGCATCGATTGCCCTGCTTCTCTGGGTCTGGATAGATAGGTTTCTGCAGAGGAATCGCCGCATCCACTTCCTCCCAAGCGGTTGTTGCCCATCGCCTAGCATACGCTCAGCCAGCCCTTTGACTTGCTGATGGGTAAACGCCAATCCTAGGGCAGACTGGGTACATATCCATCCAGCAAGTAAGTCTTCCTGGGTGCTAGAGAGCCGCTGCAGCCTGGCAAAGGCAGTATCCCTAGACTGCGCGCCATTGAGACGATCGCGAAGGGTAGCCTCAGGGACCCCCCATTCGCGGCCAGCCTGCCGGATCCCATACCCATCTGCGATAGCCTTAAGGGCCTGTTGGAGCTCAAACTCGGTATAATGCTTCATCGTACGATAGATAGAATATCCTGAAAAGATGGCGTTGTTTGGAGTAGAATGGTAAATGTTGTGGTGGTTAGAAATGAGGGTTGTTGGTGGTGATGCGCGAGTTTCGGGATGCGCGGGATGTCGGGTTGCGCGGTAAGTGGGGCGGCCGAGTTATCTCTAAGGATAACGATTGTACCTGTTGATTTCAATAGCAATAGCGGTGCGTTGTCAAAATCTTGATGATATTTACATTCTAATCTAATCATTTCACGGTTAATAGGTCGAATTGCATGTCAGGGCTGTCAAGAGACAATTATCAATCAAGCAAAAGGTAGGGCGGAGGCAAGCTTTTTGTGAGGTCAAAGATTCATCGGTGCTCACAGCCCACTTTTGATGACAGACTTTGGTAAACTAACAACACGAATCTAATGAACTATAGATCTTAGAGTGCAGAGCAGGGTAGCTAGCTCGACTCAACGCCTCTCCCATGCAAGCGTCTCTAAGAAGGTCAATGGGCCGTTATCCACCACTCATTCTACTTCGTTCTTTTTCATTAGCACATTGCCTATCCAATTCATTGTCATCCATCATTTCATCGGACGTCTAAAGTATATAATGAGATGAAAGTGACGACTGCTTCACAAAGAATGACCAGAAGGCCAAAACTTGCCGCAGTAAATCGGTCATGAAAACTTGGCAATGCGCCATTCCTTAGCGTCATCTGAATAGACATCCACCATTCGCTAACCAAGCAATCGCCCACTCTGGGAGTCCCAGTCAAAGTTCGCGATCGGCTTCATCTTTGTATGTTTTGGGGCACCTGACGCGAGCTTAGGGATCAGCCGGCGATAGGAAGGGGAGTTAGGAGTACTTGAATTTACGTAAAGACATAGCGAGGCGTTGCACAAGGCAGCCATCAAATGAACGTTGGGCACATGGTGCACAGAGACTTTCGTACGGGTTGTAACGCACGTGAACCTCAGGAGGTCCCTTCGCAGTATTCATTTTAGTCAATAGGCCAGAATGGATATACAGTTGTAGGCTTCTTCGGCGTTTTCAAACAAATTTTCAAGTATTTGCAAACACTTCCACTCTCACAGTAAACCACAGTTTTGGTTTGGAATTCCTTGTTGTTGAGATCCCTTGATTCGAGATGTAACTAGATCAGCGATGTCAACTGCAATTGTTATAGACTCAGAGGATGCCTTGCGCCTAGGGAATTTGATATGAAGTGATCTACCGGACCGAAGCCTTGATAGTCACTTTTATCTAGATTATGGGACTGTGCTTTGAGAGGCTGCATCGAAGCGCCAAGTATTCGCGGAGGGCCTGGTTTCTTTACACTGCTAGGATGATGCAAGCTTGTCCCCCACAAATGTACATTGATGATCCCGTGAAGATCGACATTGATGAGGCCCATTTCTACCAAATCTTGGAGGGCGTTCAGCGTCGTCGCACAACTGAGGATTGCCGAGGTAACACGAGTATTTTGCTAATGGAGTGATTGAATCAAGGTTATCGTAGCAATACAGAGCTTCGGCCAGCCAGAAAACTGTCCGAGGATCAGAAGGTCGGCGCGGGGTATTGATTCCAAAACTTCGGATCTGGCGGACTTCCGCGGCCAGTGAAGCAGAACAACCCCTAGAAGTCTGGCAATCTACACTACAACAACACTGAAAGCCCAGCACCTGATACTACAACACAACAGTAAGGTCTTTATCTACTTAGACGATGCCAGCCTATTCATGTCTTACCCTCTTCGGCACTAGAACCGAGGTCATCAGAAAGAAACTGTAATTTTCTTCTAATTGTATTTGGTGACATCTTCCTCGGGAATGACGATCACTCGGCATTTAGTTTCCTAAGTTACCTCGCGTCTAACAATACCTATGTGTACTCCGCCCCTCCGGCGATTTAGAATTTTGCCTCGCTTCGAAGCAAATTACCAAATCGGGCATAGAACTTGAACCATCCGATAATTGACAATGCATTGACCACATCCCGAAGACGTTGGAGGCAATGGTCAGTTGAGGTGAGAAATCAAAAGTTACAAACGTCCTATTGAATCAAAATTCCCAAGTACCCAAGTGGATGCCTCAATAACAAAGAATTTCAAATGTTTACAATGTTTGTTGCCGTACCTGCAGACAATATCTGGATACACACGATTGGACACACTGTGAGTTATCTCATAGAATAATGACATGTCGAAACCCTTTTATCCACCAACCAGCCTACATATGGTCGCCGAAGTGTTCAGCTGGCCATCTCTTTCTCCACGCAGGACCAAAAACGTAGACCACTGGAATGAAAAGAGCGAAAGCAGAAATCAATCCCGTGTAAATCATCATTGAACGGAAATATCCCATCTCCACGACCCAGTCTGAGATCTTGAAGGACAACACAAAGGCGAGCAAGCATCGAAATGATGCGACATTCACCAAAGCTGGACCGGCGAGATGAGGGTAGCACTCTAGGACATAGACGGCGCCTATAGTATTAGCACCTAAAAAGCCGAAAGCCATCAGTCCGAGGCCGGTAAGAAACGTAAAGTAGGAGTAGTCTTTCTGATCGGAACCCGCTAAGCCAAAGATAACGGAACCAACGATACCGCAGAGAGTTGGGATGATAAGGTTGACAAGCTGGTTCTCTGGGAGGCGGGCTCCCCGCTTCTTGGCGATACGATTAGCCATCCAGTCAGCAGCCTTTCCAGTGACTAGGGCAACGGCGATGGCAGCAACAAGTATTGGCATCAAGCAGAGGCCAAGTAACATGAAGTCCCATCTACAAGCGACAGAAATTAGCCAACTTCCACACATGCAGGGAGATGTAATTACTTACGACCACGGTGCTGTTAAAAGAGCAGGAGCAACAGTGTACCCAGCAGCAAATGCGCAGGCGATCATTACGCTATTAAGCATAGTAATGAAGAATATCTGCGGATAGAAGAACGTACGAAGCGTGTCGACAAAGGCATTCCAGCCCTTTCGCCATTGCATCTTGCCATGGAATAGAGCGATATCGTATCGGAAAGTCCTTGGGGCGTGCTTATGGCCAGTCTCATTACGAGGAATGCCATCTGTAATACTCTCTGTTAGTTCATTCTTGACCCGGGACTTTAGCTGTAGTGGTTTTTGGTACTTACTCATTTCAGCACGGGTACGGTCCCATCTGGTCTCAGGCATAAAGAAGTAAACGCCAATAAGAAAGAACGCCGCACCAGCAGCCGTGATATAATACATATACCGCCAACTTAAATCGATAATTATATGGGGAGCTGCCACACCGAGGATGATGATGATAAGGCCTTGGGCTGCAAATACGCCAGAGATCCAGGAGTTCCGCTGATGGACGAACACCATATCCTGAAGGATAAACGGGACTAGACTCTCGACAGTACCAGCTCCAACGGCCTGCACGCAACGAGCTAACAAATGCGATGGTAGTGACCGGCTGCTTCCGGCCCAAACGCATCCGACGATAGCAAGTACACCGGTAGAAAGGACAACTGGTCGACGACCAACAGAAATAGCCATTGGCACCAGTACCAGGTTGGATAATCCGATAACCAAGACAGGAAGCGACGCCAGGAGGTATATCTCGAAGATCGGCGGTGCATTCGGTAGCATCGAGAGGTACTTCAGAGGGTCGGTGCCAGCAGGAAGTCCGCCACCTGATGTAAGTGACTTGAGGATTTTCGGATCGAGACCGGAGTACTCAAGGGCGAAGACTGGTAACATGGCGCCCAAAATCAATTCAGCTGCAGCTGCCAGCGCACCGAAGCAACACAGGCAGAAGCAACCTAGGATTTTCCGTGAAATGGGTAAGTTGAGGGGATCCCGCGGGTCCTGCGTTGGAGCTGGCTGAAGAATGAGCTGGCCATCTCTATATAGAGCACCTGCTTGTGCTTGCGCATGCGCATGTGCATCGAAAGACGATTGGTTAGACTCCAGGTATTGAATATCATTGTACTTGGTCGACGAGGTGCTGTGGCTGTCAGGACTTTTCACGCCATTTTTTTGTAAGTCGAAACCATGGTGGTCAGTCTTTTCGTCGTCGCGCGGCCACGGCGCTTCGAAAGAGCTGGGATTTGCTGGAGCTCTTGCGTTACGAAAAGGAGCGCTGCGGTTGACGGTCTGAGATGGCTGAGAGGATGCAGGAGCGTAATTCATGCTGAACTGATCGATAGTGTGAAGGTGTAATGAATGAAACCGAGGTTTGTGATCCGGGATGAAAGACACGATAATAAACGCCGTCGGGGGGGTCACGGGCAATATATAAAGGTTACAAGAGTTTTAATGGCGCTGCAAGCAATCCTGCGTAATCCAGATACACGATTGCTGCTTACGCTCGGCAACCAGAATTAAGTATTGCGTCCTAGGAAAGGCAACAAACCACACAGACGCCGACTTCGATTCTACATACTTCGATTCCACAGATCCTGGACCTTTTCCTTGCGAAGGATCGCCCGCTGCTCGCCTGCCGGTTGGAAATCTTCTTTTTTGAATTTGTTTCATTGACGTCAAAATCTCCGTGTTGGCGCCTCTGTCAAAATACCAACATCCATGTTTTCAACTGATTGGGCTATCCTTACCATACCCCAATTCCATGCTGGGACCCTGACTCACGGCCCTTTTACACCAAACTGCGTCATGTGCACGTGATATCTAGGCTAGCCTGTTTTGGTAACTAGACCTGTGAGGTCTCAGGAGTGTTCACAGCAGCCTGCTAACCCAAAAAGACAAGATGCTTGAATTACCAGGGATAGATCTAGCTACCAAAATCTGACACTTAACACATTACGTGCATCTGAATCCTCGTGATGCAAAAGATGCCGGACGTGCGAAGCCACTCCCATGAAACCACCCAAAGCTCGTTCCGGGACTTATATTCTTCAACTGCGACAGCTCGGATTATGTAATCCGGCTCTGATGACTGAGGGACCAGAGTAGCCTATTCAAACGAGGACCATGACGTTAACATAACATAGTCAAGGTGCAATAGTGATCCGCAATTACAATAAAACCAGCCAGTTCAATTGAATTGAAGGTAGATTGAGGACTAAGGCACGATTGGGTTCGGCAGGTATGACTGACTATTGTTGTAATAGTGTTTCTTTCTTTTATACCTCATCATACGACTACAAACGCCACAGTGAAGCAGTCTAAAATACTACTTTGGCTTGAAAACTTGTGAAAATCATAGGTCACCGGTTAACTAGTCACGATTATATCAAAGTGCTATCGACAATGTTTCAAAGATGCTGGTTCTTCCACATAGCATTCGAATGTCTTTATGGCTTGTCACACCCAGTATCCCGCATCATACTGGAATGGGTTGGGGTAATCGGGGCCGCACTGGGTTACCTGAATTTCTTCTGACTTTTTTCACTTTGCAATTAGATAAGCGGCCTTGACCAGGGCCAACGACGATACAGATCGTGATGAGCAAGCTTAACTTGATCAATGGACAACACGCACCTTTTCATCGAACTATTACAGAGCCTTTCGTGATAACGCAGGATTGTTGGGGCATTGATGCTTAGAGTGGACTGATAACTAGGATGCATATATTTCTTAGAAAACACTAAGGCCCCTAAATGGCGTACCATGGCAAGGGTTCTTCTAATTCAGCTTCGAACGCTAATGATAGTCTCAGTAAATGGCTGCATGCTGGATCATATTTCTTTCAACGAGTTACGAGCGTTTATGGCGTTTTAAAGAGAGCGACTAAAATGAGGGATTGTTTGGCCTCCTCAGATAACTCTAATAGCTCGAAGATGACCATGAATGAGATTCATCAATAATTACACCATGTCCTTTCTACCACCTTCAACCTGTTTTATTCTCTTAGTCTACCTTCCACCACAGTGTTCCAGAGACACGCTTCATCACAAGTTTAAACATCAACATCTCCCAAGACTGGACTCGGACCTGATTGCGTACCGTACTCCAACCATCCCCGCACTTTTATCAACGGCAAGCCTTAGCGTATACGTTCACAAATGAGTACAGACTACTGCCATAAAACTCGTACCTACATATGTGATCTCGATAGAAATAGAAACGGTTGCTATAGTCTCGGCGACGCCGCCTTTAATTTATCAAGTCAGCATCACCATAACAACAGCCCTATGTTCTGACAGCGGACTCGGTTGGATGTGTTCTTCCCACCGGTTTTTCGAAGGCCAAGGGCCAGGTAGAAACAACTTTTGAACACGTATAGTAGATTGCTTTTGCCAGAAAATGGGATTTGAGTGCCCATGTCTCATTTCCGCTCTTCTCAAACACACGTTTTAGGTGCTGGTCGCCTGTTTATCAGTAAAAGGGCAGTCAGCATAGTCATGGCAGCATAGCAAGGAAGACGACAAGATCTATCTGTGTATTTCAAGTCACAAAGTTGTTCCGATGCGGACGAACCACCCGTCGTTCTATGGTCACGAGATTTTAGAAGAGTAGTGTAATGAAGATGAGCTCGGGTTACATCGATAATGGGTATATTATTTAGAACCGCATTCTGTGGTGGTGGTCTTTGCGCCATCTTCGAGTGTCCCATCAAGTGCCATGAGGCCCTATTTCTGCCAAGACCTGAAATGTCCATTTTGTAATCTAAAAAGCCCGATGCCTAAGTATTCGATTGGACAAGTGTTTCCGGGTATTTTCGGGCAATGTGATTGATTTCACCCCGCCCTTAGCAAAAACGTGGCTCTATGGGACTTGAACCGGAGGGAGACTAGTACACCGGATGGTATATTCTCCTCAATAAATGCCCGGCTCTGGACTGTGAAGTAGGGCGCTTGAAAAAGTTTCGTACACCAAGCGCGACCAAACCACAATATCAGCCAAGAACGCGGACGGAGCGCGTGGTGGAGCTGATACGAATATCTTTGTATCCCCGTGCTTTTACTATAGGAAGCTTTGCTGGTTCAAAGTATCCCGATCGAGAATGCTACAGTAAAGTTTTAATTCTCACTAATTATTGGGACCAATACCCTCTAGCGTTATATGAGATAAGAGACGTGGCGAAGAGTGCTAGGGTCATGACATTAGTTTTAAATTGTTGCTCCACATGTCATAATCTGAAAGTGACGACCCTGAAAGCTTAATTAGAATCACAAAAACCTGGAACATTCTCTGCATGCCAAGTCCGGATGGACGCACTTGTGTACATTCACCATCCTGCAAGCCTCCTCGGAAACTTAAGCCTCGCATTGCAAAATGCATGTCTCAACACTTTGCGTATGCTTGCTCGGTGCCATTTGGGCACAGGGACGATCAGTTAGCGATGCTACACGTACTTTTATACCGTTCCAGTTAGTCAACGGTACCTCGACCGCGGAAATCATATCCCAAGCAGGCAATCTCGACGGGCCAAAGTTGAAGCCCGGCGTCAACGACACGACATTCGATTGGTAGGAGTCCAAGCCTAATATATCAGATCAGTTCAAGTTAACATCGTGCAGGTGGTACTTTGACGCAGTCTCCACAACCTCAAAGAACGAATCGCTCACTATCGTCTTCTACAACTCCGGTCCCAGCAGTTTGGGCAACCCTGGCGGTCCGCTTAGTGTCCAGATCTCGGGAGTCCTTGCTAACGGTACCACCTTCGTGACCGCTGTTGATGCAACTGGAGGTACGACCGTCGAAAACGACAACAACAACGGGATCTTCTCCATCTGGAACGGCGCTGGTGCGTCCTTTGCGGGAACTAGCCTAGAGCATGACAGCCCTGAGTATACCGTCACCGTCAACAACCCAGCAATTGGCGTCAATGGCACGCTCAATCTTAGATCGGTATGAGACCAAAAGTTCGTTGCCCTGACTGATCCCTAACAATGCTAGTTGTCCCCTCCTCATTACCCCTGCGATATAAACAGACCAGGCATGTCCCAAGAAATCATCCCTAATGTGTACTGGTCCAACGCAGTGCCCGACGCCGTTGCAACCGCAGATTTCACTATCGCAGGAAGTTCGCTCAGGTTCACGGGCAATGGCTATCACGACAAAAATTGGGGCTCCACTATTCTGAGTGACACTTTCGACACTTGGTATTGGGGCCACGCACGCCTTGGTCCATACTCGCTCGTCTGGTTCGACACTCTGACACAGGACGGAAAGGAGCACTTCTCGTCATGGATCACCAAGGATGGCAAGATTTTGTCCCAAAGTTGCCAGCCAAAGTCGGTTATCGTCAGGCCATGGGGAGACAACAGCGAGTATCCCCCGTACCCTAAGTTGGCTGCGCCGTCAGGCTATACTATTCGCTACGACCTTGATGGGGGTAGCTCGTTTGTTGCCAATTTCACCAGGGAGAACATTCAATTGTCGACTAACACCTACAAGAGAATGACTGGGACGATTGTAGGCGGTGTCGAGGGTGGCGAACAGTATGAGGGTCAGTCGCTATGTGAGCAGTTCCAATACTAGTATCCGTAATGGCTTGAGGGAATCTGGTCTCGATGAACCGAATCGAAACACAAGACTTCGGGACTTGGGATAGATCATGAGTCCTCGCGCGCACCTGCTCTTCAGTGTACATTCGACGCTAAGATCTGTGCAAATGAAGCTTCGCAAGCTACATATCAGAGAAGTAGGGCCACCCAGGTATTGCACCAGTTTTGGGAGGATGCATTATCAACATCTACACTCCATTACTGCGGCAACTATTTCATACGAAGATAATTTTATTGCATTCGTCCTATGTGGTGAAGTCCTTGATCCGCACCTTGGAGGTAAAAAAGTGTTTGACTTACAAGCTATCTACGAGACGAGCCATTGTCTTATACAGGTTACTTAGTGGCACGAATCGTTTTTGAAGTGGCTGGCTCAGCCACCTGCGGCACTGTCTCGTCCTAGAACTTAGGTTCACGACATCCTATCTTGGTCGGAAGCGGAAAGTCTCCGACCAGGCCGGCGTACTGTGGATCGAGGGAACGGGCACATCGGGCAAGGAGCAACTCCATCAGACCCTGCAATTTTCGGGTTTCCCCTGCGAATTGGGAGATCTCTGTGGTCGAATTTTTTGATTGTACGTAATTGAGCACTGAGCTTCATCCGCTCTCCCAAGCATTGAAGATATAGGGTGCGCTATGGAAGGAGATTTCGCCGATTACTCGGTGAAATTAGTGCCAAGTGGGGAGAAAGCAGTGACAATGAAGACATGGACATCATTTATCGCTTCCTACAGCGCGTTCGCTCTATGGCATCCGCTGGGAGTTCATGTGAGTGGTGAGGTTCAGAGACTCTGTCCTTTAACCACTCACCCAAAGGAGAGCGGCATGAGCATCCTTCAGATTAGTCAGTGGCCCCAAGGCTTGGCGCATCCTGGACTGCTCGTCCGGATATGAGGCGAAGATATGCTCTTCATCTGACGGACCTGAAGAAATGCTACTAGCAAGCAGTTATCGAAAAGTTTAGCCATTTTGTAGACATCGCATAGAGTCATCTATTCATTGACATAAATGACGAATTGTTCAAAAGTTTACTATTCACATGTAAACATGTATATCTTGACGTACCCCTCCGATGGGTTGAAGATGGGTAGACCCAGGTATTCAATATCCTTGAAGGCGCCAGAGATTGTTACATGTGACTCATTGGAGTTTGATGAACCAGGTTCTTGGAGTTCAGCAGCGAGATCGTTTTGATGTAAGCCAAAGGATTTAGGCCACTGCAAATATGATGACCACCCGGCCTCTGGAATCCGAGACTCAAATGTGCAACAGCAGCGCTACTGCTTTCCATGACTGCGAACTAAGTAATTTCCGAATTGTTGCAACTTTCAATCTGTCTTGGAGGTTGAACTTCGAGAAAGTATAGATCGGCATCATGTTGTAGTAGAAGGACTTTTACGTGAACTAACCACAGTCGTCTGCGTATGCTGAGCAAACCCCGTGATACATGCTTGCTGGGTCGGGGAATTGACAGCTTCAATTAACAACTATCCCAGCCAGCCACAATGTAGCCCTTGACTTTCTTCGGCAACCCAGAGGGTTTATTAACTCGGTCTTCTCATACATCCCCCAAGCATTTCGTAGCGATAACACGCTTGCCTTCAAATTCGACTGAAAGTATAACAATATATAGCCCTTGAATAGGGGCTAGAAGCTGAGACATTCCGGTTCTCTGTTATCGACTTGAAGAACAACCCTCATGCTCATTTATCTTCGACTCAGTGCTAAATGTTCACCCCTGAAAACACAACCATTCCATTTGAACAGAATGATAGGGCGCCATTTCGTAATTTCGTACACATGCTCTGCTGAGAGACCTGTCCAGGAAGTCATGATAATGAGCCTCCAAGTGGGCTGATCATGTCTAAGCCGAGGTAGTGAGGAAAAGTCAATAGTCTAAATCAGGCTCGATTATAAAGACAGTGTTCTGCAGCTTTCATAGCAGCCCCAGAGTCTCAAACCAGCAAGAGCGGTTGAACCAAGCCATCAATTAGACAGCTTTGGTTAGTACACGAAGTATGACAGGGTTGATTGGCTATGTTTTGTAACACAGTCCTTCCTACGCTGTGCTTGTAATTGTTACCAACTGAGAGCGATGAGTTAGGCACACCCAGAACCAAAAAAGGGGTCATCATATTTAGGGCGATATTGTTGAACCGTAGATCCAAATTTACAGGCCGATGGAGTGAACTCCGGTACTAGAGATCAATGGGAGAAGTTGCAACCTGCAAAATCATACGGTAAACTCGAAGTCTTCATCTTGGACCGGGGAGTACAACGGGTCATAGACATGCCTGGGTGTATCGAAAAGGGCTGTAGACAGTACGGCACATGCTATTGCGAAACAGCAAGCTACGGTCCGGTTACAACAAGGCATAGGAGGATGGAAAGTCAAAGGAGAGGCACGAAGGAGCGCCAGACCACGGTAGCTGCTTCACTTGTCACATGTACCTCAAGACAGCGTTGCCTTGATCAATGCCATCGCCTTACCAAAACCATTCTGGAGAGAGATATGGCGTTACAGGGTATGGGGAGAAGCAAGTAAGATGAGGCTCATGATAAGCCTTCCGTGGTGCAGGGTAGCATTGGCTGTTACTTGGACTAGCATGTTCGCTGGGAGGTTTCGGAGCGAGTGGGAGTATCGCCGGATGGGACGTGGACCTAGGAAACCAGGGACAGGCTACGCCGTCAAAGCGTGCTGACTATAGATCACCTGCCAGGTCAAGTGGACGGGTGACTGGATTGATCCATGACAGGAATGCGCCACCGCTGGGTAGTACGTTGCCACATTAGGGCCAGGCCAGGCTCATCGTCGGATCAGTGGCCGGCACTTCCCACGTTTTCATTCGCCAGGCTCTTCAGAGATGACGGGCGGCCCGCCCTCCAGTACGCCGGTTTCTGTCAGCCAGTCTAGATAGAACGTGGTGTCTGGTTACGTTGGATAGATTGCGCGCCGGCGTCGTTTGCTTTCCATAAAAATTGGATCAGCACGAGGGGGGATCTCAACCGTATCGACTTGTGGTCATATCGATGACGTTGCAAAGCGATGGCCAGTTCGGCATCGTCAGAAGAACACTCTGTAACTGTACGAGCGACTTGTACTTGGCAGTCTGTATGCTCCTTGTTTGGAGTCGGAACATGGATGAGCCGGTGTGAAAGGGAGAGCCAAGAGACCGTTCATGGCACAATCTGCATTGCGGCTAGATCGACCTGTCCCAGTTGGAGGGCGCATCTGAGCGGGTGGCACGACGCTTACATTAATCTCAGTCTGGCAAAGAGTCGCAAGCGAAGCGCCCCCATTGCCCCCCCATCACATGAGGGGGTAGCCGGCAGGCCCATCATCATGCATATATTCGGATGAAAGGTTGTATGGGGACCGTATCTTTCTCTGGGCTTTTGGCTAGGGACGGCCGCCACTAGTCGTTACATCGGCCATTACCCCACCGGCCGGCCATGTGCAGAGCATGTGCAGGTATTGGAATCCCCAAAGCTCGAAGGAGGACGGGCTTGGACGGGGTCTTTGTCATGTCAACGACGCCCCGATGCCAGGTGTGCTACCGTCTGGCGGCCGCCGCACGTTCGTCGCGCGTCCGTTGCGACCGTCGCGTCGAAGATCACCCTCTAGCGATTTGATAGACCCGGCTCCGCAAACCTCGTACTTCAGCCCAATCGCCTCGGCATGTGCATCTGGCATGCTTCAACTGTCATCGCTCATGCAGAATGGCGAACCTACCGTCGGGCGTCCAGGCACCAGGGCGGAGGTTTGACGATACAGCAGACAAGTCGGTCAACTGGCAGTGGGTCCACGCAATCTAGATTAGATCCTGTAGGCCGCGGGAGATCTGCCGCATGCTGCGCAATGTGGATAGGACATATGTCGACATGTTGGGCAGAAGGGCATCTACAGAAAGGAATTCGGCGACTTTCCGTCAGCGACTTACGCATGTCTCCAAGATTTATGGTCTGGTAACGATGACGGGAACACCGCGGTGAGGCAGCTTCCGAAGCAGGTTTGGGCACTGGGAACTAACGGGATGCTAGTTTCTTGGACACCCCCTTCACTAACGGGGCTAGAACTAACGTAGACACGGCGATGGGTACGAGGCGCTCTTAGGCAGACACCTCCAGGACCTAATTGGAAAGCCCCAAGGAGATCAAGATGAGGCCTTCACCGCACATGTCAAGCTGAAAAGGCATGTTCAGGTGTGTGAGGCGATGCCGAAAACTGCATCGTGGGTTGCGTCTGGTGCTCTTGTCCGCCACGGCCATTACGTGGACGTTTGGTTGTTCACATTGGTGGAGCCAGGCGTGGATGAGATGTGGTCCACGCGTTTATCAAGGGAGGGAACATTTGCCAGGAGTCTGGAGCTGGCTTGTTCCCTGCTGCGAAACCAACGTGTTCGGGTTTCTGGAACCAGACGACCCAGACACCGCCTTTTCCCGCCAGGTCAACCCTTTCCGCGACACCACTGTCAAAATGACTTGCCCAGAGTTTGATGCCTGCGCCTTGTTTCTCCTGGAGGCGTACGCTACTCGTCGATCTAACGGGACTGCTCGTCGATGAGAACATGAAGGTAAGCAATCAGGCGCTGGAGGAGGTGGTTGGCTAACTCGGCCTGAATCATATCTTTTGGGTGGTCCAGCTGATTGATGTTCCAACCCCCGGCCCTCGAGCTTTGCGAATTGCTCCCGAAGCGGAGCTTATGATGGCCAAGGTCTGTGCTGCAATTAGGCCGTCGGAGAAGATGGAGGCCTATGGTCGTCCGCCCGGCGCCTTACTGGAAGAGGCGTTGGCTCGATCAAGGACAACCCGATCTTTCAAATCGTCCGACACTTGCGGGAGCGAAGAGGTGACGAAAGGATGCCACGAAGGGCCGTGGGTCGATGCAAGCTGAAAGATGGCTGGTGCCCACCAAAAGAACTTTGCTACTCCGTGCGTTTGGAGCTGGTTCAAGGTTTGTTTCGATCTCGGTC